GATTAGATGATGACTGATCACTGGGATTAGATGGAAGACCGACCGACAGATCTTGGTGGATGAATGATAGACAGACGAACGGCGACTACCGACAGATGAGTGACCATCGATTGATTAGAGCAGATGGTGACCACTGACTGATTAGATGGTTGACTGACCGACCGGTTACAGATGGATGACTGACCGAGACTGATTAGATGGATGACTGATTGACTGACTGATTAGATAAACGACTGACTGTCAATCATAATATTTTATACGATGCAGTTGTGATTTTTTTTACGACACACAATTTATTCACGTGAATAGATTTTAAGCGTTGGATATTACACTTAAACAGCAACAAATTTATTTTGAGGAATTTAATGTGCTTTTTTGTTCTTCTATCTACTGTTAAGAAATTGAAAAATAGAAATATAGAGAAGGAAAGTGAAGGGAGAAGGGGAACACACAGACAAAAAGAGGAAGGACAATAAGACAGACGAAGAAAAAACAAAAAGAAGTAAAAGATATATAGGAGGAAGGAAGGAAGGAAAAGAAGAAAAGATGGAAACTAAAGGTGTATTACCCTGTATTGGTGTGACGACTGTACTGGTACTGTACTCGGGTGTGGATGAAGAGCAAGCATCTTACTCCTTAGTCTGGGAGATGTAAACAGATACCAGATACCAGATGAACAACGATGTTATAGAGAAATCCGACTGTGAGAAAAAGATTTAGGTTAATGATAAACAGAATCTAAACCAAGACAACAATGTGTATTTGCTCGGAAACAAGCACGCAACAAAGTACTTGGGTTCAGCAAAGGAGTGTTAGTTACAAGACCAAGGAGTAAGTTATCCTAAACCATATATTGCGCTTGTGAGACCTCACTTGGATTACACGGTTCAGTTTTCGTTACTGCACTACAGAATGGATATATATCCCAAGAAAAAATTAAGAGGAGAATGACAAGATTAATCCCAGGAATTAAACCTTGAGTAAGACAAGAGAAGAAGCATCTTAATTTGCACTTTCGAGAGACGTAGAGCGAGGCGACTGATAGAGGTGTATAAGGGAAGGCAGGCTAAACAAAGGACATACAAAGGTACTCAAACTATCCAACCAGAGCGAACTTGCAACAATGGTTTTAAATTAGACAAATTTAGATTTAGGCGTGAAATAGGTAAACACTAGTTTGGAAACAGAGTAGTGATGAATGGAAACAAGTTACCAAATATCATCAATAACTGAATACTAGATAGAGTCAAAATAGGTTGTATGGACATATGAGCGAGGGGTTGGTGTAACGGACTGCCCATATGGGCCAATAGACCCAGCAGTTTCCATTCTATGTTTTATCTGTTTATAAAAAATCATAATAACAATTGTTTGAAAATAGTGAGTCAGAGAGAGAATTTTGGCTTAGTTGTTCGTACATTTAACATTTTTGACAAGCATGGAGTTGTTCTCTGTATATTCAAACCATATATAAAATGAATATTATGATTGAATTGTTGATAATCATTGAATCATTTAGCGCCTGGGAGCTTACACCTGGCACACCTGATGAACTAAATTATAGGGCTGTTTCATTGCTATAGCACTTGGGGATCTATTCAATCAGCTTCTAAAGCCAGGCATTACGGCACTGAGTTGGCCAAAAATGATGACAGAGAGGTGCTATTACCACCGCAAAGCAGCTCATAACACACAGTGATGACGTATGTGTACGTCCGTCTGAGCGCACACCATCATCATCATCATCATCATCATCATCATCATCACCACATCATCATCATCATCATCATCATCACATCACCATCATCATCATCATCATCATCACATCACCATCATCACCATCACCATATCATCATCATCACCACATCATCATCATCACCACATCATCATCATCATCACCACATCATCATCATCACCATCAACATCATCATCATCATCATCCTCATCATCATCATCATCATCTCATCATCATTATCATCACATCATCATCAACATCATCAACATCATCACCACCCATCATCATCATCATCATCATCATCACCACATCATCATCATCATCACCACATCATCATCACCACAGCATCATCATCATCAACACATCATCATCATCATCACCACCATCACATTAACAATCATCATCATCATCATCAACATCACACCATCATCACCACATCATCATCATCATCATCACCACACATCATCATCATCACCACATCATCATCAATAACACCACCATAATCACACACACCATCACCACACCACCATCATCATTAATAACATCATCACCATCACCACCATATCATACATCAACACCACATCATAATATCATCATCATCATCATCATCACCACACCACCATCATCATATCATCAACATCATCACCATCATCACCACATCATCATCACCAACATCATCACCATCATCATCACCACATCATCATCATCACCACATCATCATCATCAATCACCACACCACCATCACTCCATCACTATTAGACACTGGGCAAGAGGCTCACCTCACCTGGCAACAGAAGAGGTCAGGTGCTGGAGTCACCTGCCTCCCGCAGCGGGATATCATTATCACAAACTTGATGCAAACAAGACGAAGAAGAGGTTTGCAAAAATTTTCAATTCATGTTTGATATGTTTTATTTTCATCCTATTTCTGTCGAGAGTTGTTATTCTGTATGTGTGTTGTGAGTCTGCCTAGTGAAGGAGGACGGACGGGCTGGGGCCAAGGGTGGGAGGAGGACGGGGTGGGGGGGACAATGTAGAGGAGGGGGCAGGGGTAGAGGGCGGGGGGGGTAGAGAGGGCATGAACACTGAGTATGGGAAGGACGGGAGGCAAGAGGACGGGTATGGGGAGGACGGGGTATGGGGGAGGACGGGGGTATGAGGGAGGACGGGGATGGGGAGGGGCGAGGTATGGGGGAGGACGGGGTATGGGGAGGACGGGGCATGGGGCAGACGGGGTATGAGGGAGGACGGGGTATGAGGGAGACGGTATGGGGGACTGGGCATGAGGGAGGACGGGGCAGAGGAGGACGGAAGGAGGACGGGGTATGAGGGGAGGACGGATATGGGCAGGACGGGGTATGGGGAGACGGGGTATGGGGCAAGGACGGGGTATGGGGGAGGACGGGGTATGGGGGAGGACGGGTATGAGGGAGACGATGGGGAAGGACGGTATGAGGGAGGACGGGGGATGAGGGAGGACGGGTAAGAGGACGGGGCATGAGGAGGACGGGGCAATGAGGGAGAACGGGGTATGGGGCAGGCGGCATGAGGGAGGACGGGGTATGGGGGAGGACGAGGTATGGGGAGGACGAGGTATGGGGAGGACGGGGTATGGGGAGGACGGGGCATGGGGAGGACGAGGTATGGGGAGGACGAGGTATGGGGAGGACGGGGTATGGGGAGCAGGACGGGGTATGGGGATGACGAGGTATGAGGAGGACGCATGGGGAGGACGGGGTATGGGGCAGGACGGGGTATGGGGAGGACGGCATGGGGCAGGACGGGGTATGGGGAGGACGGGGTATGGGGCAGGACGGGTATGGGGAGGACGGATATGGGGAAGGACGGGCATGGGGAGGACGAGGGGAGGACGGGGCATGGGGAGGACGGGGCAATGGGGGATGTCGAGGTATGAGGAGACGGGGTATGGGGGAGGACGGGGTATGGGGGGATGACGAGGCATGAGGGAGGACGGGGTATGGGGAGGACGGGGACGAGGGAGGACGGATATGGGGAGGACGGGTAAGGGGAGGACGGGCATGGGGAGGACGGGGCATGGGGAGGACGGGCAGGGGATGTCGAGGTATGAGGAGGACGGTATGGGGAGGACGGGATGTGGGGAGCGAGGAATGAGGGAGGACGGGGTATGGGGGAGGACGGGGTATGGGGGAGGTCGAGGCATGAGGGAGGACGGGGCATGGGGGAGGACGGGTATGGGGAAGGACGAGGTATGAGGAGGACGGGGTATGGGGAGGACGGCATGGGGGATGCAGAGGCATGAGGGAGGACGGGGTATGGGGAGACGGGGCATGGGGGGATGTCGAGGCATGAGGGAGGCAGTATGGGGAGGACGGGGCATGAGGGAGGACGGGATATGGGGCAGGACGGGAAAGGGGGAGGACGGGTATGGGCAGGACGGGGGTATGGGGGAGGACGGGGGCATGAGGGAGGACCGGGCATGGGGCAGGACTTGGGTATGGGGGAGGACGGGGTAAGGAGGACGGGGTATGGGGTAGGACGGGGTATGAGGGGAGGACGGGGTATGAGGGAGGACGGCATGTGGGCAGGACGGGGCATGAGGGAGGAAATGGGTATGGGGAGGCATAAGGGAGGACAGTATGGGGATGACGGCAAGGGGGCAGGACGGGGTATGAGGGAGGACGGGGTATGAGGGAGGACGAGGTATGGGCAGGACGGGGTATGAGGGAGGACGGGGTAATAAGGAGGACGGGGTAAGGGGGAGGACGGGGCATGAGGGAGGACGGACATGAGGCAGGACGGGGTAAGGAGGACGGCATGGGGGAGGACGGGGCATGGGGGAGGACGGGGCATGGGGGAGAACGGGCAATGAGGGAGGACGGGTATGGGGGAGGACGGGGCATGAGGAGGACGGGGTACGAGGGAGGACGGGGTATGGGGCAGGACGGGGCATGAAGGAGAGGAGAGAACGGGTATGGGAGGGGATAGGGAGGAAGGGAGGTCGAGGCATAGGGGGAGGACGAGGTATGGGAGGACGGGAATGGGGAGGACGGGGTATGGGGAGGACGAGGTATGGGGAGGACGAGGCATGGGGAGGACGGGTATGGGGAGGACGGGCATGGGGGAGGACGAGGTATGGGGAGGACGGGGTAAAGGTGACGGGGTATGAGGGAAGACGGTGGTATGTGGGAAGACGAGGTATGGGGAGGACGAGGCATGGGGAGGACGGGGTATGGGGAGGACGGGGTAGGGGGAGGACGAGGTATGGGGGAGGACGAGGAGGGGAGGACGGGGTGGGGGAGGACGGGGTATGAGGGAGGACGGGGCGGGGAGGAGGAGGTATGGGGAGGACGGGGTGTGGGGCAGGACGGGCATGAGGGAGGACGGGCATGGGGGGAGGCCGAGGCATGGGGGAGGACGAGGTATGGGGAGGACGGGGTGGGCAGGACGGGGCATGAGGGAGGACGGGGTATGGGAGAGGACGGGTATGAGGGAGGACGGGGAGGCAGACGAGGTATGGGGGAGGACGGGGCAATGAGGGGAGGACGGGGTATGGGGTAGGACGGGTATGGGGAGGACGAGGATGGGAGGACGGGGGTGGGGAGGACGGGGATGAGGGAGGACGGGGTATGGGGAGGACGAGGCATGGGGAGGACGGGGGTAAGGAGGAGGACGGTGGGGAGGACGGGGTATGAGGGAGGATGGGTAAGGGGAGGACGAGGTATGGGGAGGGACGGGGCAAGGAGGGAGGACGGGGTATGGGGCAGACGGGAGGAGGACGGGTATGGGGAGGACAGGAGGTATGGGGAGGACGGGGTATGAGGGAGGACGGGGTATGGGGCAGGACGGGCAAGGAGGGAGGACGGGTATGGGGGAGGACGAAGAGGGGAGGACGGGTATGGGGAGGACGGGGGAGGGAGGACGGGCATGGGGCAGGACGGGCATGAGGGAGGACGGGTAAGGGGGGAGGACGGAGGCATGGGGGAGGACGGGGTGAGGGAGGACGGGCAAGGAGAGACGGAATGAGGGAGACGGGGCAATGAGGGAGGACGGGGTATGGGGAGATCGGGGCATGAGGAAGGACGGGGTAAGGGGGCAGGATCGGGGTATGGGGGAGGACGAGGTATGGGAGGACGGGTGTGGGCAGGACGGGGTATGAGGGAGGACGGGTATGGGGAGGCGAGGCATGGGGGAGGACGGGGTATGAGGGAGGACGGGCATGAGGGAGGACGGGGCGGGGGAGGACGGGCAATGAGGGAGGACGGGTGGGGGCAGGACGGGGTATGGGGGAGGACGGGGCAGAGGGAGGACGGCATGGGGGAGGACGGGGTATGGGGAGGACGGGGCATGGGGGGACCAAAAGGGAGACGGGCATGGGGGAGGACGGGGTATGAGGGAGGACGGGGAATGAGGGAGGACGGCATGGGGAGGACGGGGTATGAGGGAGGACGGCATGGGGGACGGGGTATGGGGAGGACGGGGAAGTGACGGGGAATGAGGGAGGACGGGGTATGGGGGAGGACGGAATGAGGAGGACGGGGTATGAGGAGGACGGCTATGGGGGAGGATGGGGCATGGGGGAGGACGGGGTAAGGGGACGGGGTAAGGAGGGAGGACGGGGCATGGGGAGGACGGGGCATGGGGCAGGACGGCATGAGGGAGGACGGGTTATGGGGAGGCCGCGGTATGGGGGAGGACGGGGTATGGGGAGGTGAGGTATGAGGGAGGTCGAGGTATGAGGGAGACGGGGTATGGGGCAGGACGGAGTATGGGGAGGACGAGGTATGGGGAGGACGGGGTACAGGAGGACGGGGCATGGGGAGGACAGGGGCAATGAGGAGGACGGGGGTATGGGGAGGACGGGGTAATGAGGGAGGACGGGCATGGGGGAGGACGCATGGGGAGGACGGGGCATGGGGAGGACGGGGTATGGGGAAGGACGGGGCATGAGGGAGGACGGGGATGGGAGGATGCAAGGCATGAGCGAGTGACGGGTATGGGGAGGACGGGGCATGAGGGAGGACGGGTATGGGGAGGACGGGGTACGAGGGAGGACGGGGTAAGGGGAGGACGGGTATGGGGAGGACGGGCATGGGGAGGACGGGGTATGGGGAGGACGGGGCATGAGGGAGGTATGGGGGAGGACGGGGCATGAGGGAGGACGGGCATGAGGGAGGACGGGTATGGGGGAGGACGGGGTATGGGGGAGGCTGAGTGGGGAGGACGGGGTATGGGGGAGGACGGGGTAAGGAGGGAGGACGCAGGGGAGGACGGGTATGGGAGGACGGTACGAGGGAGGACGGGGTATGGGGAGGACGGGGTATGGGAAGGACGGGCATGGGGGAGGACGGGGTATGGGGGAGACGGGGTATGGGGGAGGACGGGGTATGAGAGGACAGTGTGAGGAGGACGGAAGGGTGGGGGCAGGACGGGCATGGGGGAGGACGGGGTATGGGAGGTCGAGGTATGAGGAGGACGGGTATGGGGAGGACGGGGTATGGGCAGGACGGGGAAGAAGACGGGGTATGGGGGAGGACGGAGCATGAGGGAGGACGGGTATGGGGCAGGGACGAGGTATGGGGAGGACGCAGAGGGAGGACGGGCATGGGGGAGGACGAGGCATGAGGGAGGACGGGGTATGGGGCAGGACGGGGTATGGGGAGGATGGGCATGAGGGAGGACGGGGGCAGGGGAGGACGGGGCATGAGGAGGACGAGGTATGGGGGAGGACGAGGCATGGGGAGGACGGGAATGAGGGAGGACGGGGCATGGGGGAGGACGGGGTATGGGGCAGGACGGGGTATGGGGGGAGGACGGGTATGGGGGCAGGACGAGGTATGGGGAGGACGGTAGTATGAGGGAGGACGGGGTATGGGGGACGGGGTTTGGGGAGGTCGAGGTATGGGGGAGGACGGGGGCATGGGGGAGGCAGAGGCATGAGGGAGGACGGGCATGGGGCAGGACGAGGGAGGACGGGGCAAGGGGAGGACGGCAAGGGGGTAGGACGAGTATGGGGGAGGACGGGGCAATGAGGGAGGACGGGCAAGGGGTAGGACGGGGTTTGGGGGAGGTCGAGGCAGGGGGAGGACGGGGTATGGGGAGGTCGAGGCATGAGGGAGGACGGGGTATGGGGGGACGGGGTATGGGGGAGGACGGGGGCATGAGGGAGGACGGGCATGGGGGAGGACGGGGTATGGGGGATGTCGAGGTACAGGAGGACGGGGGTATGGGGGAGGACAGGTATGGGGAGGACGGGTATGGGGCAGGACGAGGTGATGGGGAGGACGAGGCATGAGGGAGGACGGGGCATGGGGGGAGGACGGGGTATGGGGGAGGACGAGGTAAGGGGGAGGACGGGGTATGGGGGGAGGCCGAGGCATGAGGGAGGACGGGGTATGGGGGCAGGACGGGCATGGGGAGGATGGGGTATGAGGAGGACGGGGATGGGGAGGACGGGGATGGGAGGGCAGAGGAGGACGGGGTATGGGGCAGGACGGGGTATGGGGAGGACGGGGTATGAGGGAGGACGGGGTATGGGGAGGACGGGGTATGGGGGAGTCGAGGTATGAGGGAGGACGGGTGGGGAGAGGACGGTATGAGGAGGACGCATGGGGGAGGACGGGGTGCAGGACGGGTATGAGGGAGGACGAGGTATGAGGGAGGACGGGCATGGGGGAGGACGGGGTATGGGGAGGACGGGGGCATGGGGAGGACGGGGTATGAGGGAGGACGGGGTATGGGGAGGACGGGGTATGGGGGAGGTCGAGGTATGAGGGAGGACGGGGTATGGGGGAGGACGGGGTATGAGGGAGGACGGGTATGGGGAGGACGGGGGTATGAGGGAGGACGGGTATGGGGGAGGACGGGTATGGGGAGGATGCATGGGGAGGACGGGGTATGGGGGAGGATGGGGCATGGCAGATGAGGGGAGGACGAGGTATGAGGGAGGACGGGGCATGGGGAGGACGGGGCATGGGGAGACGGGCATGGGGAGGCCGAGGTATGAGGGAGGACAGCAATGGGGGGAGGACGAGGTATGAGGGAGGACGGGGCATGGGGGAGGACGGGGCATGAGGGAGGACGGGGTATGGGGGAGGACGGGGTAAGGAGGGAGGACGGGGTATGAGGGAGGAGGGTATGGGGGAGGACGGGGTATGAGGGAGGACGGGGTATGGGGGGAGGACGGGTATGGGGAGGACGGGGTATGGGGGGAGGACGAGGTATGGAGGACTGCATGGGGAGACGAGGTATGAGGGGAGGACGGGGCATGGGGGAGGGACAGTATGGGGGGAGGACGGGGCATGGGGAGGACGGGGTATGGGGAGGACGGATGAGGGAGGACGGGGTATGGGGGAGGACGGGGTATGGGGAGGACGGGGCATGAGGAGGACGGGGGGAGGACGGGGCATGAGGGAGGACGGGGTATGGGGGAGGACGGGGTATGGGGAGGACGGGGTATGGGGGAGGACGGGGATAGGGAGGACGGGGCATGAGGGAGGACGGGGTATGGGGAGGACGGGGTATGAGGGAGGACGGGGCATGGGGAGGACGGGCATGGGGAGGACGGGGTGATGGGGGAGACCGGAGGTATGAGGGAGGACGGGTATGGGGAGGACGGGGTATGGGGAGGGACGGGGTATGGGGAGGACGGGGCATGGGGAGAACGAGGATGAAGGAGGACGGGGTATTGGGCAGGACGGGATGGGGAGGACGGGTATGGGGGAGGACGGGCATGAGGGGAGGACGGGGTGGGGAGGTCGAGGTATGAGGGAGGACGGGGGGGGGAGGACGGGGTATGGGGGAGAACGAGGTATGAGGGAGGACGGGGTATTGGGCAGGACGGGCATGGGGGAGGACTATGCATGGGGAGATGCATGAGGGAGGACGGGGCATGGGGCAGGACGGGGCATGGGGAGGACTCAGGCATGGGGAGGACGGGCATGAGGGAGGACGGGCATGGGGGAGGACGGGGCATGAGGAGGACGGGGTATGAGGGAGACGAAGTATGAGGGAGGACGGGGCATGAGGGAGACGAGGTATGAGGGAGGACGGTATGGGGGAGGACGGGGTATGGGGAGAACGAGGTATGAGGGGAGGACGGGGTATTGGGCAGGACGGCATGGGAGGACGGCGTATGGGGAGGACGGGTATGAGGGGAGGACGGGGTATGGGGGGAGGACGAGGTATGAGGGGAGGACGGGGTATGGGGGAGGACGGGGTATGGGGGGAGAACGAGGTATGAGGGAGGACGGTATTGGGCAGGACGGGGTATGGGGAGGACTATGTATGGGGGAGGACGGGGTATGAGGGAGGACGGGGTATGGGGGAGGTCGAGGTATGAGGGGAGGACGGGCATGGGGGGAGGACGGGTATGGGGAGAACGAGGCAGAGGAGAGGAATGGGTATTGGGCAGGACGGGGTATGGGGAGGACCTATGATGGGGAGGACGGGGTATGAGGGAGGACGGGTATTGGGCAGGACGGGTATGGGGAGGACATGATGGGGAGGACGGCATGAGGGAGGACGGGCATGGGGGAGGACGGGGTATGGGGAGGACGGGGTATGGGGAGATCGAGGCATGAGGGAGGACGGCGTATGGGGAGGACGGGGCATGAGGGAGGACGGGGTAAGGAGGGAGACTGAGGTATGAGGGAGGACGGGGTGGGGAGGACGGGGTGGGGGAGAACGAGGTATGAGGGAGGACGGGGTATTGGGCAGGACGGGGAAAGTGAGGGAGGACGGGGTATGGGGGTGGTCGAGGCATGAGGGAGGACGGGGCATGGGGAGGTCGAGGTATGAGGGGAGGATGGGTATTGGGCAGGACGGGGTATGGGGGAGGACGGGGTGGGGGGAGGCCGAGGTCTGAGGGAGGATGGGGCATGAGGGAGGTCGAGGTATGAGGGAGGATGGGGTATGGGGCAGGACGGGGTATGGGGGAGGACGGGGTATGGGGGAGGCCGAGGTATGAGGGAGGTCGATGTGGGAGGATGGGGCATTGGGCAGGACGGGGCATGGGGAGGACGGGTATGGGGGGAGGACGGGGTATGAGGGAGGACGGGGTATGGGGGAGGTCGAGGTATGAGGGAGGACGGGCATGGGGCAGGACGGGGTATGGGGCAGGACGGGGTATGGGGAGGTCGAGGGCATGAGGAGGATGGGTATTGGGCAGGACGGGGTATGGGGGGAGGACGGGGTATGGGGGAGGTCGAGGTATGAGGGAGGACGGGGTATGGGGAGGTCGAGGTATGAGGAGGATGGGGTATTGGGCAGACGGGGTATGGGGGAGGACGGGGTATGGGGGAGGTCGAGGCATGAGGGAGGATGGGTATGAGGGAGGTCGAGGCATGAGAGAGGATGGGGTATGGGGCAGGACGGGGTATGGGGAGGACGGGCAAGGGGGGAGGACGGGGGTATGGGGGAGGTCGAGGCATGGGGGAGGTCGAGGTATGAGGGAGGTCGATGTATGAGGGAGGATGGGGCATTGGGCAGGACGGGGTATGGAGGAAGGGGTATGGGGGAGGACGGGTATGAGGAGGACGGGGTATGGGGAGGACGGGGTATGGGGAGGACGGGGTATGGGGGAGAACGAGGTATGAGGGGAGGACGGGTATTGGGCAGGACGGGGTATGGGGAGGACGGTATGAGGGAGGATGGGGTATGGGGAGGTCGAGGTATGAGGGAGGACGGGGTATGGGGGAGGTCGAGGTATGAGGGAGGACGGGGTATGGGGCAGGACGGGGATGGGGCAGGACGGGGTATGGGGAGGTCGAGATATGAGGGAGGATGGGGTATGGGGAGGTCGAGGATGAGGGAGGATGGGTATGGGGGAGGACGGGGTATGAGGGAGGATGGGGCATGGGGAGGTCGAGGTATGAGGGAGGATGGGGTATGGGGGAGGTCGAGGTATGAGGGAGGACGGGGTATGGGGAGGTCGAGGTATGAGGGAGGACGGTATGGGGCAGGACGGGGTATGGGGCAGGACGGTATGGGGAGGACGGGGTATGGGGCAGGACGGGGTATGGGGCAGGACTACGTATGGGGAGGACGGGGTATGAGGGAGGACGGGGGGGGAGGCCGAGGTATGAGGGAGGACGGGGTATGGGGCAGGACGGGGAGGGGCAGGACGGGGTATGGGGAGGACGGGGTATGGGGGGAGGTCGAGGAGGGAGGATGGGGTATGGGGAGGTCGAGGTATGAGGGAGGATGGGTATTGGGCAGGAGACGGGGTATGGGGGAGGACGGGGTATGGGAGGTCATATGGGGGAGGACGGGGTATGAGGGAGGATGGGGTATGGGGAGGTCGAGGTATGAGGGAGCATGGGGTATTGGGCAGGACGGGGTATGGGGGAGGACTGTCATTAAAATTTTTAGTTTTAATAATAATAAAAATAATGTGGGGCTCAAAGATTATATAATACAAACGTCTTTTTGTACAATCGTTATTCGTAGTTATATTTACAAATAATTTATATAGATTCCTGCATTTTTCACCTAGATGTTTGTTAATTATATTCCCTTGACAACAGACAACATTGATTTTCAGTCATTATATAAATGATAGATCATAGAAATGGTCTGAACACAAAGTGGTTCCTCATATACGTTGGTGAAATAATTAAATATTTCTTTTTTAATGTACCTGAGAATTGATTATTTTTCCTTTTTATATCATTACTTAGATAACGTATTATTCAACTATAAATTATTTATAGTTGTCTGACTTTTATCTTAATTTTTCTCCTGTTTATTTTTTTTTAATTAAGTATAAGTTACCGATATTCAGTCTACGCCAGATACACCTCAAGTATGAAGAACCGTATCAGTCCTTGCGAACCATATTGTGTATACTCATTGACTCGAGTATATGTATAAACCTAAACTTGGTTTCCCCAAACCCTGTCATTACTCAAACATCCACGACCCACGAATGGCAAGGAATGGTATGATGTTTTGTCTATTTTTGAAGCCTCTCTCTCTCTCTCTCTCTCTCTCTCTCTTACTAGATGAAATTTAATGTTTGCAAGGAATAATTTCAAGGTCAGAGACATAATTGTACCGCGGCGGGAAGTTGAAACTGCATTATATAAGCCGAGTGTAACCAGGACTTAAATGACTTCCACGTGTTTGACTCACAACACTGAACGTGATGTATAAGTAACTTGAAGCAATTTACAGTGCCCCCCAGTGACATATCTCCCGAGGGCTGTGTGTGGATGCTGTGGCCGACATCTCCCGGGGGGTCGATAGGAAGGTGTTTTCCCTCATTATCTCCCACAGGTATAAAATTCCCAGCCAGCATCACGCACAGGATATTGCACGTAAGAGATCGTGATTACCAAAATACTCTCACCTGGCTCCGTTACCAGCTTTCATTGATTACCAACAGCCAAGGTGCGTGTGCATGAGTGCGTGCGGAGCCGGCAGGTGCCCTCAGGTAGGTAGGCAGGCAGGTGGTGGTCGAGCCCAACACCGCACCTTTATCACCTCGTCCCCGACACTGACACCCACAACCTCCCAGGCACTTACCTCTGGTCTTTGTCAGTGTGGGCCTCCTCCTCCTCCTCCTCCTCCTCCTCCTCCTCCTCCTCCTCCCCCCCTTTTCATCATCATTTTCATTACCATCTTCCTCCTTCTCCTCCTCAGAGTTACAGTAATGACTACCTGGCGTCACCCCCTTATATTGCAATTGCAACTCTTACTGCTGTTACTTATAGATGTTCCTTCTGTTCCGTTGATGTTTGTGCTGTTCTGGTTACTACTTTTGCTAAGTTGCTATTGCTGTTTTTATTGTTGTTACTTCTACCACTGCTCTTGGGTCTGTTAATGCTGCTAATGTAGTTATTGATATTAATGATGTAATAACTTTAATGCTACTGCTATTAATGCTGTTAATACTAGTGATGTTGTTATTACTGTTAATGCTGTTAAAGTGAGTTTTGTCATTAAAGCTGTTAATTTTGTTATTGTTGTTAATGTTCTATGCACGGCGATACTTTTGAAGATAGAGTTGAACTACAAGCCCGGCCTGAGAACCACAGCTTGTTGCTAATAAAACATATTATAGTACTCATAAACCGGACGTATTCCATATAACATACCAGTAGTGCACAGAGGTAACACATAAATATAGTATACTGGTCTAACGCAAATAACGTAATATATGGGCCATAACGCATATAACGTAACATATGGCCGTAACAAATTTAACGCAATATGTGGGTTTATATGATGATATTTCCTTCGGAACACATGACGCATTATATTAGCGTAAATAACGAAATAATCTGCATAACGTTCTTTATATAATGTAATATGTAGTCACAGCACCTATAACATAATATACATGTGTAAATTACATGATGGACGCACATAACGTAATATACAGTATATCTCTAATGCATAAAATATAATATAAAAAGTAACACGTAACCTATTATATGGGTTTAAAGCATATAACATAAAATATGGATGTAACATATAGAACCTGCTATATGACCGTAGCGAGTATTGTATGAGTGTGAATAACAAAATAGAAGCGTAATGTATATATTAATTTGGTTAATTATGTTTACTTTTGTTTATACTACTCCAAGAGAAATACTTGAAATGTACAGGAAAAGAAAAATTAGATACTTTAGTCATATAATTAGGGATGAGGAGATAATAACAGAACTATTAATGGGCAAAGTTGAGGGTAGGAGGGCCAGAGACTGGGATAGATGAATGAAATTAAAAACTGGGTCCCCAGAGGTACTAAAAGTATCCAAAGGAGCGAACTCGTAGCAATTATTTTAAATTAGCCAAATTTAGATTTAGGCGCCAGATAGATAACACTGGTTTGGAAATAGAGTAGTGGAAGAGTGGAACAAGTTACCAAACATCATCATTAACTCGTATACGCTGGATAGCTTCAAACATAGGTTGGATGGATTATGAGCAATAGGGGTTGGGTGTAAACGGGAGTGCCCAGTAAGGGCCAATAGACCCGCTGCAGTTTTCCCCATTCTTATGTTCTTATTTTAGAGGATTGGTTAAAACAGCCCGAGAACGTTTAGAGTGGAGGATTGTGGTCGCCAACCCTCAGAGTTTTATATGGTTAATGATAGTGATGTTATTAATGCTATAATTACTGTTATTACTTATACGGCTGTTTGTTCTCTTACTTCTGTTAATGCTGTTATTTTCGTTAATGCTCTTATTAATATTAATAAAGCTACTGTTGTTTATACAGCTGTTAATGCTATTACCTTTAATACTGATAATGCTGTTCTGGTATATCTGTTATGGCTGTTGTTGCTGTTAATGTTGTCATTTTACTTGCCCTCCCCATCCTTTCTTTTAAGTTGCTTCTATTGTCACTACTGTCGACTTCGCTCTTCTCATTACACTTGCTACTGTTGCTGTTGCTCCTTCTGTTATTGCTGCTGTATGCTGTTTTCCCTCTTTTGTGACTTTTATTGACTACCGTTGCCTGTAAACTTTTTTTGCCGTTACTCCTCTTGCTGTTGTCAACGGTACTGTCGCTGGTATCTCCTCTGTTATTTTTGCTGTCACTTCTATTATTGCCGTGTATATAGAAGCTGCTGCTGCTGCTGCTCCTCTATGCGGCATTCAGTGACTATTGCCTCATAGTCAATATCTGCGACTGTTGTTGGCTTTGGGGCCGAAGATCTCGTTCCCTGAGGCAAAGTAATGCCGACCTAAGCAACGTAGCTTCTGGGCTGTTGCTTCTGTTCAGATAACACTCGGTCAGTATTGCGTAGAAGCATTTTGCACTTTGTCTCATACCGCCAGAGGCTGTGAACACCAGAGGAATGAAGTTGCCTTGATCCACATTTTGAATTCTCTCCGTTTCTCTTGTGTGCAGCCTCGAGAGATAGGTTACGGTGACATGCGGCCATTGGATCGAAAATCCTGATGTCAACGAAGGCTCACTGTCCCCGCGTCCAGAACCATCGGGCCCTGACGTCCTCACGGGCTTCGTTGGATGTGTTGGAAGTCCTGTGATGGAGATTTTCACCGTCCAATGAAAGGATGGTCGGTTCCACCGTGACATCGTGGCAGATTTCCTTCAACACATTTGCTGTGAGATCCCTTACTTCGTCATGCCTCATACATACGAAGCCCCCTTTCTTGCACACCATGGCGTGGTCGATGTCGTAGGATGAGCCACACACGCATTGGATGGGCATTTGTAAATTCTTGTTTTTTAAGGCTGAAGCATTTTGCCCCTATCGGTAACGATGTTCGCCAGTTCGAGGCGCCCCACCTCCTGCGCCTGGCAAGTGCTGCATCAGTTGTTGAAGTTTATCACTGTGGGTGTGCTGCCGTTCTGTAATAATGGGATGTCGAATCTTGTTTGATTCGTTGGTATCCACCTCGCTTGGTGCATTCTGAGCTACTATGTGTTCAGTGGTAGTGCAAAGAGTGACTCTTCTGCTGGGGTTAAGAGAAGACGTTTCCCTAGTGTTGGGATAAAAGCGACCCTGGTGGCTTATTCCAGAGGGTGGAAGAGGGTCCGATATCGAGGATAGTGCGCATCAGGTAATTCCAGCGATGTTTGACTCCATGTGTGAATGCCGCAAATGCCGGATGTGGCTCTGTTTT